ACTCACGCACACAATAAAAATCAAATGCAAATGAAAAACATAGATGTTTAAGTACCTTACTGTGAACAGGACTTCTTGGACAGAAGTTGTGTCTGCTAATAGTCTGATTAGAAGTGCAGTGGTGAGCAGAAGTTGGAATCTTGCAGGTCCATATCCTAATTATACCTTGTCTTGGACTATCTGCCTAAATAGCCATTCCTTGCTACTAATTAGTCAGAACTAACCTGTCGTGGTTGATAGATAGAGAAACCTCTTGGCATTTAACTTAACATACTTCTATCTTTCACCAACTTTAAATGTAAGGATGTCACCAGCATCTGAGGCCAGTAGGAGTGATTCCCCCATTCCCCACCACCTCTCTGATGTACCCACCAATGAAAGTAGTTTTAAATTCCCTTGATTTGTGACTTTCTTTGTTCAGAGACTATAAAGAGAGATCAGGCACTAGGGAAATGTCTGAAGAGCCACAAAGATGACACCAACTAACAATCTAAGCAACAGGGGAGAGGTAGACACTCACAGCTAAACATTGAACTGAACTGAATCAGTTGCAGAGGAGGAGGACTGATGAGCATAAGGGGTCCATACCAGGCTGGTGAAACCCACAGAAACAGCTGATCTGAACAAGAGGGAGCTCTTGGTCCCCTGACTGATAGCTGGGAAACCAGCATGGGACTGATCTAGACTCCCTGAATCTGGGGGTTGGTGAGGAGACCTCAGAAATTTATGGGTCCCCTTGTAGAGGATCAGTACTTATCCCTAGCATAGGAATGGACTTTGGGAGCCCATCCCACATGGAGGGATACTCCCTGAGCCTAGACATAAGGGGGTGGGCCTAGGCTCTATCCCAAAGGACATGACAGACTCTGAAGTCCCCCTATGGAAGGCCTCATCCTCCCTGGGGAGCATGAAGGGTATGGGATAGGTAGGGTGTTAGTTGAGGGGGGCAGGGGAGGAGAGGAGGGAGCAGGAACTGGGATTGACATGTAAAATAAGCTTTCTAATTCAAATTAAAAATTTAATAAAAAACACAAAAAGGACAAATCAGTATGATTTTTGTGGATATATAAATATATTAACATATAAATTTCAATCTATTTGCTTTAAATAAATTGACTATAAAATGTTCTTTTTCTTTAAAAAAAAAAGAGGCAAGAGCAGGTTCCCCATTTAAAGCCTGGAGAAAAGCTTCTTTAAGAGTGAGAGTAAGACAATGGGATGGGGAGAAAGAGAGAAAGGAGAGTAGGAGGGGAGGATAGGGAGACCCAGGATGTACAGTGAGTGGGGGGAGGGCAGGGGGAGGACCCTCTACAAAGAGCGGACCTCAGAGACCTTCCTTGAGCAAACTTCCCTGAGAACTCTCCATACTCACCCCTGACCACAGACAGAACTTTCCATAACCCTTTAAGGGTGGCAGGACATTTCACGTCACAACATGTAGTTCAACACAGCGCAGCATGCAACACAATGCATAGAGGAGCCAGATACTGTAAATTGGGAGATGTGAAACCATAGCACAGACCACTTAATTCTCTGTCACAGAGGGTGCAGTAGGGAGCTACAGCCTGGTCCAGACTGTAATATCTACCAAAAGGAGCAGGCTCGAGTCTACCAAACCCATTGCTCTGTATTTTATTCAAGCGGATTTAAAAATCTAGTAGATTTATTTCACTTTCAACTGGTGATACATTGGGTGCACATATTGAGTTCAGGTAAGTAAAATATAAAAACAAGTAGAAAAGTAAGTTTTATTAACAACAGCCCAGTTATAATTGTTGCTACCTTCATCTTGTTGCATGTATTTTTAAGATTTATGTCACCATTATTTTTAAAGATGATAAAGTATCTCTGTGTGCTGCTTTTGGATTGGTTTCTTTTATTAAGTAACATATTGTGAGTATGTTTTCTTGCCAACAAATATTATAATGCACTGTGAAGGGTCATCCGATGTTCCTTTATATGAATGTGTGAGGCCCCTTGTTCAGATAATCAAACTCTTTTTGGTTTTCCCCAAATATTAAAAACACTGTGACACAAGTATTCAAACTCATTTTTCAAAAACAGCTCAGTATTTGTATGCATCTTAAGCTACCTCTTTCAAGTTAGTTAGGAAGCTAATTACATATTCAGTTGTGCTAAAGCACTGGATTCTTTTGTTATTTTTCTGGCCAGGGAAATACCAAAATAAGTAAGTTACTCTCTTAGCACCAAAATGGAAAAGTGCATTAAAATATGTTACAATGAGGTATGAGGAATAAGCCACTTATTTGAAATTCAACTCCCAGAAGTACTAACTAGGGTTTCATGGCCTGTTTTATTAGGCAGTTCAGCTGAGAAAGTTGTGGAAGACTAATAACAATATGACTCACCTGATGTAGTTTTGTTAGACTACGATAGGGAAGTCAGTAATAGCTCAAATTAATAAGAAAAGTGACTTTGTTTCTGTGTGATGATGGTGAATTACTATCATACTCCTTGGCTAGATCCTGACATGAACATACAGCAAAGAAGTATTCAGGAATTTGCTTGTTCCTGGAGCCACAAAACCAAAATACATGGCAGATGAGCTAATGAGTGACTGAGCTGAAGTCCTCAAACAGGAAATTGCTAGTTGTTGCCTATCTTAGATCAAGTATTCTTCACTCTTAGAGAGTCAGATGGAGGAAATAATTCTGAAAGAAATCCACTAAGCAGTAAGCTGGAGGCTATGCATTTGAAGCCCATTAGAGAGGACGGTTATTCTGGTAGCGGTTATAAGTAGACAGTGGGAAGCTAAAATCAACACACCAGCATCACCTCTGATTATAATTGTTAAAGTAGAGAAAATGGTGTAATGTGAAGGTATATGGCAAGTGAAATTTTATTTCTAGAAAGCTTTTATGGCATTAAAAATATAATAATTTTAAAATCAAATCAAAACATTGAAAAAGTTTTCAATTTATTTATCTAAAAGGTATATTAGGAAAATAATGATGTTTCTATATTTCAGATATGTTCATTTGTAGTACAGAGAAATTAAAATTATAAAACAAAACATACTAAACATTATAGAAAACATCAAGGATGGTAATGACAAAGTTATCTAGTTTATGAAAGAATACTTTATTGGCATGTTAAGGCTGTTTTTGTTTATTCCCAAAGTGCCTCATGACATACATAATTAAAATATATAGTCATTTTATATGCTTTAAGATATACATAAGTGAAATTATACAGTATGAATTTCTCTGTAAGTTGTTCATAAGTTGTTGGAAACCTTCATACAACTCAGGCTTTTGCCAAGGCTATTGGTTGCTCTCCACAAGCTGATGGTAAGGGCTATGTTGCTAAAAGAGAACATACACACATCTCATTGAACATGGAGAACTTGTGCTGCTGTGATCTCCTGCTGTAGTCCTGGTTTCACAAAACCCTGGGAACAGCAAGATAATTTTACCACTACAGGATACAGCTCCGGGGAGTAAATTCCATGATGTCAACACAGTCTTACTTAAATTTGGGTGTCTTGGTAACCCAATGCAGTCCTGTTAAATAGCATGAATTAACTCTACTAGCTAGTTAGTGTCCATGGTACTGGAAGGTACTCTTTCTTTAGGCTACCAGAGGAAAAGGCTAAATACCAACCTAGTGACTTACACTTCAACCCTATGCCTTTGCTACAGGAAGGTACTCTGCATGTACCAAAGGAGAAAAGTTAATGCCATTCCAGCTACAAGCCTTCTATCTACAGTGGTTACCTGCCTTCATGATATGCTGGTACAACAGTGGCACAAAAGTTGTGGGAATAACCAACCACTATCTAATTGCTTGTAGAAATTCAATTTATATTTTACTTATCTGAATAATTTGGGGAATAATGTCCTTGTGTAGCCATGGTTAGCCTAAGAATTGCTTTTTAGGCCTAGATCACCTTGAACTCATGATTTACCTGCATCAAGCTTCATGAACTATGAGTAGAGTCATTCACTACCATGCACAGCTGAGAAAACCTCTGTTAAATGCATACAGATCTTTATCACCAGGATGCTGCTACATTATGTGTATGGAGCTAGATGCCGTATTTTCATCACGTTTTGTGCTTTATAGAATTATTAACTATCACCTAGTATTGATGGCATGCCTTAAAATGTAGTAGAAAATATTTTACTGTTTAATTACATATATAAATTACAATAGCTTCATGAGCATAAACAAAATGAGTGCCACCAATTTCCTATCAACAAATGTTATATACCTTGAGGAAAAAAAAACAAGCAAGTATGAATTGATTCAATGGAGCTAGAGGGCAATCCTAAAACATTTAAAACAATGCACTTTGGAATTGTACATGGACACTATTGTCAAACACATTAATTTTCAGTTTAAGAAAAGTACATGTACCATAACATTTCAATGAGGAGCTAAAATTTATAAAACTAGTTAAAGGTAAAACAAGACTGAACTTTGTTTCCTTGACTATCACACCAAGGGAATGTTGAGGACAACATTGTAATGGCCTGTGGTTGTTGTCCTGGTTTCACAAAATCTTGGGAACAGGCAAGAGAATTTTACTCCTCTAGGATGCAGCGCTCCAGGGGGGAAATGCCATAATGTCAGGACAGTCTTACTTAATCTTGGATATCCCAGTAATCCAAAGCAGTACTATTAAATAATCATACCAGTGGGATGGAAACTCCATACTCAGTCATGGGAAGAAACTGGGTAAACAAAACAAAACAAAAACAGCTACAGGGCTTGCCAATATCTAAAATAATTTTTAAAAATAGAAGACAGAAGAAATTATGAACACAAAGAAGGCTACAGAGATGAAAGCATGTATTTGGCAAAATTCAATCTAGAACCTTATGATGATGCTGTGATACCAGAGTTTAGTACTATTTGGAACGTAGCCTTCTTAAATTGTCTATTTGCATATGCTTAATTTCCCAAATGCATCCAGATTGTACTATCCTTGGGTTGATCCAAAGATCCCTTCCCATTTAAACACTGGAAAACAGTAGCACTCATGTGTGGTTTTTGGTGACTCAATGAACAAAGTCTTAAAGACATGTATGGAAAAAAATAAATTCTCTTATGTAACCCAGAACTCATTATTAAGCATGAGTTTGATACATATCAGAAGGGATATGATGCTTAAAACAATTCAAAGTGATGATGATGTTGGTACTAAGATTGGTTTTAAGAACAACACAGCTGATACTTATAGCCTGCAGCACATATAGACTCTCCCTTGAGTCATCTCCACTCCACTCCTGTGTAAGAGTTAAGAAAAAGAAACACAAAGAAAGACAGCCAAGAATGAGTACACATTTCCCAAGGCAGAGTAGAGTAAGACATAGTCCAGTGTGGTATGAGCTCCTCAATGAAGAGGTGCAGCTAGTGAGTGAGACATGTTCCAGTGTAGAGTATAGGCTCTTCAAGAGAGAGTCACAGTTAACTGTTTTATCCTTAGCTCTATATGTCTTTCAGTGGTTCTCAAGGCACACCTCAAAGATCACTAAGACACTTATTTTTTCTATCTTTTGGACAGCTATAGATATTTGTGAGCCACCATTTGGGAGTTGGGAATTAAACTCAGTACCTCTGGGAGAGCAGCTAGTGCTCTTAACCAATGAGCCATCTCTCCAGTCCCTATCTATTATTTTTCACTTCAATTTAACCAACCTTTTATCATATTTACTTACCTGTTTTATGTTACTTATTTGTCTAATAATCTTATGTATATTCGTAAAGAGCCTAGAAACAGCAACAAAAAGTAAATTAGCCTTCCTTTCCTGTCAGCATTAAGAAGTATAATTTGTATAACTTTGGCTTTTCAGACATTCTTAACCCCAAGAATAGCATGATTTTTTTTTAAAAGAAGGAATGGAAAATATTTAGACATTCTGTTAACTCTGGGAAAGCATAAAAGGATTAAAACACAGGTTTGCCTTCTAAGAGCTTATAATATGACTGCAATGAAATACAAATTTCCAAAGAAGGTTTCAACATAAGAAAACAAAAAGGTAAGGACCTAATAATGACCCCACAGTAACCAATAAAGAAATTTAAGAAACTTCATGTTTTTCTGTCATGAAAAAGGAAACTGGCAGAAGTTTCATGAAGGAGGCAGCATTTACCCCATCAGAGAAAATATTCTTTTTTGTCTGAAATGAATTCCTTAACTCATTCACTTTCTTTCTTTTATTTAGTATGTTTGCTGACTACTTTCTTAGCATTTTGTGGGCCATCAAATATGAATATCAATAATGACATCTTCATATACTTTCTTGGTTCTTGACTTCATTTCAAATCACTGCAATATCAGCAAACAAGCAGAGTAAGAGTTGTTTATGAAACTTAGGACAGTAAAGACTGGGCTCTCCAACATCTTTGGAGTCTTTCATAAAGGATCCTAAATTTCCACTCAAGGGAATGAGAAATCTGTTAAGTCAGGTAGGAACATTTGCAATGCTATGGGTTGTACAGAGATCCACATCAATATTACAGAATCTATACCACCATGGCACAGGGAGATTGGTGCTCTTACAAAATTGCATATTTCTGTGTCTTATTATTTCTAATTTGGGTTCAGCCAAGATTTCAAGATAGAGGATTTAGTAATTACTCAACATATTACTAATACCTAAGAGCAGTGTCAAGTTCTTAATGGGACTTATCTTCAAAGGTAGGCAAATAAGATTCACAATGGTAAGGAGCTTCAAGAAGCAAGATGTTTTCAGTGAATGCAACTGTGTCTTGTTCCTGAGCTAACACAAGGTCTGGTATATTATGGAGGAATAGGCTGCAAGAATACATGAAGATTGTGTTATTATAGAGAAGGATTTTTTAAGTTGATAGAGTTTATTGAAAAAAGTGGAGATGATGTTTTTCAAGACTTTAAACTGGCTACAGTGGGTAGTGTATTTGTGGGACCCAACATTTAGAAGAGAAAGTACTTGGTTAGCCTTGTGTAATATTCTATACAGCACTAAGTGTACAACAAAGATGAAGAGCCTGAAGAGGCCACAGGAAGAAGAGATGGAAATGATATTATATAGAGACTTGGGGGCAGAGTGTAATGATGGAATAACTCCCTGGCTAAAAACAAGATGAACAAGAGACTGGAGATTACCAGATATCAGTTTTGACTTAGATTTGCAAGGATAAAGATGCTTCAAGCAAAAATGTACTTGGTAATATTTTATTTGGGGATGACATCTTAGAGAAGTAATAATGAGGGTAAATGGATGACAAACAGAGAAGGAATAAAATAAAACACTAGGTGGCCATAGCTTTATAAGAAACACAGATGGTTACTCAGTCACATTAGAAATTTTTGGAAAGGCTATATGGAATCACTTTGGCTTGGAACCATCTAATAGGGCAAGAGAAGATTTAAGCAGATTTTATCTGCAGCCACCTGCTATATCCCATCTTCTATCAGCCCAAGTTTGCCCCACAGAGCATTAATTTTCAAATACTTATGGACTATGCTTCCCAAGTTTTTGGACCATCTTTAATACAGCCAAATCCCCAGGCAGAGCTAAATGCATCTGAATTTCAAGGTGAGTCAGTTATCTGCTGTTAGAGAGCCCCCTCTGTCTGTCTACCTATCTTGGGAGCTTGCTAGGAGAGTCATTATAACTGCCTGGACTTGATAGTTTGTATCTTTCAATGGCTGGTAAGTATCTGGAAGGCCTGGGTGGGAGGTTAGAAGGGTACAGGGAGGTATTAAGTATGTAAAGAGAGATCTGAAGAAGGTAACAGCTCAGGTTTATTCATTTATTTTTTCTTTCTCCAGGGGTGATCAAAGTCTCCGCTGTGGTTGCAAAGGTGTGGGTCATTCCAGGTTCTTATCCTGGCCTGTTGCTAACAAACTATGAGTGTGGGGTGGAGAAACAGCTTAGTGGGCAAGAATGTTTGCTGCCCTTACAGAAGACCAGAGTTCACTTCTCCACACCCTTGTCAGGAGGCTCACAACCTCCTACAGCTCTAGCTTCTGTGGATCCACTACCTTCTGGCTTCCACCGGCACTTGAATATGTGTGCACATGAATACACCCAAAATAATAAATAACCCTTTGAAAGGAGAAACTATGGGTCAGTGGATGTGGAGAAGTTCAAAACTGGTATAACCAGTGGTTATGAGAACATTGGTGGCATTGATCAGGATAAGGAAAGTTCAAGTGGAAACTGGTATTTCCCTGGGAGCAGAAAGAAATGAGCTGGCTTTACAAAGTTGACTGTGATCCTGTGGTGATGTCCTGTGGTACATATCTCAAAGAATTGTAGATCTATGCAAAGTTAACATTTGAAGGAACTTTAAAGGCAATGTGCCAACTGTCTTGTTTCAGTCAGGGTGGAAGGTATGATTCATAGAGGTTTTACAGTTTTATAAACAACATAAAATAAGATGTAGATCTGAGACTGAGAAATTACTTTTTTCCAGGGTACTAACCATGTAGTAGGCACTGGATATCCTGAGTTCTCACTCTTCATTTGATGGTGACACTAGTCTCAGTGACTATCTCTTCAATGAAATGACTGGAAAAGGCATTTCCCATTGTCTTGTCCATCTCCCGTGTTCTTTTGCTCTCTGATGGATTCAGTAGAGCAATCCAAGTCAAAGGAAATAGAATTGTAAACACGGTGTTTTTATAGATGGCTGGAAATAAAAATGATGACAGAGAGTAGGAGGCCAGTGATTTAGTTTCATGCTACATCAAGGTACAAAGGTAGAAGTCAGAAAATCCGAAGAGGTTATCCAGCAAGAAGTGAGAAGTGAAATAAGCAAGAAGAGGGAAGTACCCAAGACTGAAACTAGAGGGCTGAGGAAGGACTAATGTAAACTTCTCCTGGGAAGAGGGTCAGGCAGAACTGAAAAGGAAAGGAAAGGCAAATATAACCAAGGGAGCTCGAAATTGCTAATGATGTGTTTTTTGGTTTTTTGTTTTTGTTTTTTTCTTCCATTCATTTATTTAGCTCATAAACAAAGTCATGCACAATTATGATACACAATACAGTATGTTCACAATAGCATGGCTAAATTAAACCAATTAACATGTTATATCACACATATTCATAATGATGGGTTTCTCACAAAAGAAGTAATGAGAGTGTTAACTAATGAGTTAGAAAATAAATGGACAGCAAGACTGGCCAATGGACAGGAGCAAGGTCAGTTAGGAAAGGGAATGGAAAACACTGGGAAAAGTTATAGTTGGAGATGAGAATAAGGAAAATGAAGAAGAGAGACTGGATTATATAGACCTCAGACTCCTGCTCTTTTGGAAATTATACACTCACAGGAGTGAGATCATCAATAAACAACAAACCAATATTGTTTATGTTAATTAGCATGAAAAAGAAAAGACAGAGAGACTAGAATTCCAATGAGAGCATAGAATGGACTGTAAATTTTGCATGTGTTGTGGGCCTCTGTTATGAGCTAGAGTTTTCATTGTTGACATAACAGAAGGTAGGGAAAGATTTATTTAGCTCAGAGTTTTAATTCACCATAGCAGAAAGGGCATGCCACAGCATCTCATATCATGGCAGAGAGAAAGCAGAGAAAAAGGGGAATGTGTATTTCTATTGGTTTACTTCCTCTAGATTCTAGAGTCTAGATAGATTCTGTTCTCAACATTTTTACCACCTCCCAAAATGACACCACCAACTAGGGACTAAGCATTTAGAACACCAGGCACAGGGACTATCACACATTCAAATCATAAAACAGCCACTTAGAAATTTGTGTAAAGACTGATGGGGAAAAAAAGATATGCAGGGCAATAATTTTTCAGAGAGGAGAGTGAAAGCAGATTGCATTGGAACACTGAGGAAATGCAACAACAAGGTTGGCTGTTCCTTTCTCTTGCATTATGTTGCTGGGCTTGAGCCTTTTCTGAACTGTAGTGTAGTGAAGCCTAACTTCCATGTGACAGAGTAGGGATGACCCATATTCTCTTTTGTTCGATGCCTCTAAAATATGGGCATCTGTATAATAAGCATTAGCTGCATAAATTATTGGTTTTAAGAAAATACAAATTTTACTCAACATGATCTCAGTGTAGAAGGATAAACTCAAATAGAATGAGTGAACCTTAACTGTGCCTCTGTGACTTAGGTTTGTAGGACAATAGGTTCCT